CATCAGAATATTACATGAAATCAAAATTTAAAGGCCCAGTGGCCACCCTTAGCGATATAACGAATACTATTTTAATAATCAGTACTCTGCAGAAATTACTACCTTAGAGCTATTCGTTTTACATGAAGAAATCTTGAGGTTAAAAGTACTGTAAGAATCTTATACTGACCTATTGAAATGAACCCATAATCAGAGTCATTTAACAGTAGTATAAATACCCCCGCGCTGCTCATTTCAAGGGAGGGTGGGTGGGATAATTATCAATACGAGTCTACTGCATATGTGCATAATTGCAACAAAAAACTTAAATGATAAAGACCAACCATAGCCTTCATCAATATTTCCCAAATTTTCATTCACATATTGTACTGGAACCTTATTGTGTAGCTCCAATTCCATACAGCTTAGTTTAATAGCATCTCATTTAGTGTTTTAAAATATAATTCGTAAACAAATTGAGCTATACGTTAATACAAATAGTGTAAGCTTTAAATTATATTATAGTTATTCTAATTAGTGCAATTTTTAAATTTCTACGTTTCGAATTTCAAACTGCATGTTATTTGGCTTTCAATAATTTTATGGTGTAGTTCATATTTCATTGTTTATTTACTCATCCCTGATAGATTTCCTTTGTCTTATGTATAATTGGTTTTACCCTATGGCTTTACAACAATTTGAACCCAAATAAAGCTGTAGGCAGACAATGTTAAAATAAAAGAAACTATGAAATGGTTGTTTACATGAGATATAATAATCGCTAAGTAGCAAATTAATATTTTAACATGACTGCGAGGTGAAAATTTACTGCTATGATGTGCTATAAGTGAGAATATTTCTTTTGCTTTGAAGCTATCAATTGTTAAGTCTGTATTTTACTATAGTTCAGATGATTTATAAGATATTAACGTTTATGCAATTTCCACTTCATTTCCGATATACTTTATAAAAGGAGTAGCTAAATATAAAAATTTTTCGACAATAGATATAGATCAACTATGTTACAGCTCAAATTTTATACAGCCGGAGTAATCATGGGTATGTTAGATTTAATTTATTTGTTTAAGTAGGACTACAGTAGCTTAATAGAGTATATAGAATGGTGTGATAATGTGATCTTCAAAACAATAAATCAAGAACTACAGTTTCTTGCAAATTTCACTTTATTACAGAAGTTAGGTTCGTCTAACTAGCAAGGACTAACGGACTATCTGACAATCTGACAATCTACTTATTATAGCAAAATTCACGATTTATATACGATTAGTTACAGAATGCCTTTACTGTAACTAATTTTATCTTTCCCATTAAGTCGCAAGATCAGATCTAAATTTACCATCGCGCAATCTATTCATAATTCGCGCGTCTATTTAAAGCATTACAATACAATACTTACAGTACTAACATACTTAGCGCAAATCTATTTATATCTCAGATCTTTATATAAACATCTTAATAGATTCGATACAATACGTACTGAAACATCTTCTACAAATAGACTCTTACACAATCTTACACTCTAGCTTACAAGTTAAGTTACTCTCGTACCGTCTTATAATAGTAATCTAGGCTATATTTGGGGCTGCACTACATATGGTTAATGTGGCTATGTCACGGTGCGAACTACCGTGAAGAAATAGATATCTAAATTTGGTTAATATAATATAGTGATATTATATTACAACTAGTTACTTACAATAGGAATTACTCTAATGTGACATTCATTAATTAATGCATCATCAATATTATAATTTTGTTGTGTGATGAATCATATGTTGACACCTAGCTACTAATTAACTAATATTAAATGTCATAGAAAGTGTGTTGTGATTCTAGCTATAATAAGTATGTAGACTGGGTTATTAATTAATTACTGTTTTTGCACCAACGAAGTTGGTGAGGATATATAAAGTCTCAAAGTTCTTAATTGAGAGTTAGTTACGTTAGTCGATGACAGATGGTTATCAGTTGCTAGTCGTAATTGTAAGTTGTGCGTTCAATCGGACATTTTAATAAAATAGCTTCTAGAATAAAGTTTTGGTCCTTAACGTGAGTAATCTATCGTCTAAGACTCGAATCTAAGTTTGGTTGATTAAAGAGTGCTTAGAGTTAGTTGCTTAGATAGTTAAGTCTACTTTAGAGGAAAGAATCCCGTTTAATTCTTGTGTTACAATCTCGGTTGTGACATCTAATTATAAATGTGTTACTGTAAATTTATTGCTGTGCTGTAATGTGTGCTGAAATGATTCTGTGAATGGACATATTGTAGTCCGACTGTGAAAAACTAGTTAGTAGATGTTCTCACCCAAGTATTTTTATAAGATGACTTGTGAATGTTAGCTGCTGTAGAAGGGTATATAAACCCGTCAGATAGTTGAATAAAGCAGTTCTCAATTGTATAGTTGTTTTAACGTAGAATCAAAGGCGTCTAAATTCTTGTGAGTAGGGATACTGAATCCCGGAGACTATAGAGATTTAGAGATTTGTTTTACGTTATCCTTGTCACGAAGTTGGTTTGTGACAGGCTATTATGGTGTAGGTTGAAATATTAAAGCTTTACCGTTTGCTGTCTTATTATGTGCTTACATTATTATCAGTCTTCAAAGGCAATATATCGATATCTGATATTAGTAAACTTATGCATCTTTCCCACTGATTAAATGCTTGTTCTATACGCGTATACGTTGAAGTTCAAAGTGATGATCTCTGATGATTATAGTAGTACAGTATCTAGCTAATAGGATGGAATGGCGTACTTGTACTGGTTCTAGTACGAAACTGGCATTCTCCAGTTAAGACCGTAACTAATAATTAAATATAAGATTACGTTAGCAGTCTCCCATATAAGAGTTAAAGTACTATTATCCGGTATACCTTAGCAAAGTTTTAAATCGAGCTTTATAGTCTCGAATTAATATGTGTACTATATTAACAGATTAGCGTAAACTTTTAAACTGGCTCATTCAAGGACATAATCGCAAACTCACAATGTGACTGTTCATACAAGCAATACTTAACACCATCATTCGAAAGTTACTTTAAATTAGCCTTTACTTTTATTATAATTATTAATCGAAATAATTCTTTGGTCGATATACGACGTTCAAAAATGCGCCAGTGATTAATTAATTATTGTATTGCTCAAGATCGATCTCAATTAATCAATTATCCATCTTTGACATTGTAGTTATCAATAAAGTAAATGGAAAGATCTCTTGGTTACCCTATATTATTTTCACGGTAAGATTACTGTAAAGAATTAAATGACTAAATTTAACAAATTTAATAACTTATATATGATGGATACAATCAATTACTTACAGCAGAAATCACAGTAGACATAATACATTAGAGTAAATTTTATGTCGTGCTGTTCAATAATTTTTATACACTATAGCAATAAATTGTAGCACAAGATCTTTTGAATATAATTCTGACTAATGGCGGACTCTAGGTGAATTGAGATAATTTTGTGAATGGATATATTGTATTCCGATTATGTAAAATTTATCTGTAGATGTCTATACCCATAATCATGATTGTAAGATGATCGACTAATGTTAGTTGCTGCCAAAGGGTATATAAGCTCGATAGATAATAGAATTAAGTCAGTCTTCTAGTTTTATCTAGCTTTATAACCTAGGAGCAACGTCGTCTAAGTTCTTTCAAGTTGTCAAGGGATACTAAATGCCGGAGACTTAAGAAATTTAGAGATTTATTTTTGCATAATCTTATCATAAAGCCGTTTTGTGACAATTATTTACTCAAGTTTACCGCAGTGCTAGGTCCCATTTCATATAATTGTTCGTATTATAATAATTCAACGTTTTCAACCCTAATAGAATACTAGGCTTTGTCTAAAACTGATAATGATAACCGCTTAATTCATAGAATTGCCGAAAGCAAGTTCACAACTTAGAAGCTACTAATGGATCATACGAGTTATGTACTGATACTGTTCTTGTGGTCATAATATTAAATTATACTGATTAAAATATATTTGATATTTAGTAATTAGAATCATTCTGTATTATTCTATTGTATCCTGTTTCAAGAAATAATGGATTCATTCGAATCTATGACCAGATTCCTATAGGAAGCTAATATTACAGGACTTACCTATTTATCCAATAAAAAGGGTGTTGTAACTAATGTTTACTGTACACTAACTGACAATGTGAACTAATTGACTGCTTATTCTTAATGCCACTTCCGCGATACCCAACGGGTTTGGCTAGTAGCCCTTAATCATTGTAATTAAATCTGTTCATGGTCGATCAGTCCTACTAAAGGTTACTAGAAGTATTCGTATCTCCTAATAGTTGTATTGGTTCCAGTATTTTGAAATTTTAGACTTAAAAATCATAAGATTTTATCTAAAATTTGATGTTAGTTTGGATTTCATACTTATATGAAACGCTTAATATGCCAGCAACTGTACGTTTATTTTTGCATAACTGAATAGTACTACTAGCATATATTAAAATACGCAAGATTTTAGATGAAGTCGAGAATAATCACAGGCATTAATAGTGATAAGTAGAAACGATCAAAATTTTCGACTGCCGAAGAAATTCAGCTCTAAGTATCTAGCCTTTACACCTATGTTAACAAATTTCTAAGAATTATGAATGATTTGATGCACATTTCTAGGTAAAATCAATTATTATATAAAAAGATCAAATCTATTGCTTCGCCTTATTATAGCAGCGAATGTGAATAAATTAATATAAGTTTGAACAATAATTAAAACTGAATGCAGCAAACTCATTACAAGTATTATGATAACCCGGAAGCTGCAGTTTACAAAGAAGTATAAGCTGGTGCTAATGACGAAAGCTAAGAATAAATCAAGTTATTTAAGACCAATGATGCTTAATTTCTTATTATTTAAAATCAGTAGACAATTTATGGTCTACTATAGTATGCCTATTCGAAACAGTTATCACCTGCAAGTATCATGATGGTTCACCAATTTAATATTTGCAGGCATAAGAGTACTACATTTTTCCAATTTTATATTTTTTTAACTCCTCCAATTCATTGAACAAGTAATTCGCATAGTTTGTTGTTAAAAGCAAGGTATTCTTTAAATCAGGGCATCTGTTGTCGGCATTATTAATCACATTACCGTTTGAATTCTGATATTGCAATTTATAGCAATAATTTCCAGTTTGGTGATGCTAAAAAATAGTTATCATATGATTACTATTACAGCAATTTATAGTATATTAGCTAACTAGCAAGTCATAGCAAATGCAAATTATTTTAATTTCAACTTCCGATATGATTAATGTTTAACAATTTTATCGGTTATACCATGAGTTTGCCACTAATTTTGCGGTTAAACAGATTGGACTTTGATTATTATCTATCACACTAAATACCTGAAATTGGTGTAATAGGCGCCTTGCAATATATTCGTGACATCGGTAAGGATACAACTATATCCCAGTACAAAGAAGAAATTTATTACACAGCCGAAAGCTAATCAAAGAAAAGTTCAGAACATATAGTAGAGTTTACTAAAATATGCAGTATTCAATACACGACACTGGTGTTCATCAATTTATACTCACTATACATTTTACAATGAATTGATTAGGCACACATATTAAAATAAGCTTACGTATTCCAATAAAATAACTTACAAATTTGATTAAACCTATGTAAAAATCATAGAAAGCGCTCTTTAGTTCTGTGCCATTAAGCTTGCAATTCCTTGATCGACTAAATGATTCTGATTTCTTTACCAATTTATCTAGTATACCATTTTTTGAAAGTGTTGCAGCAACATTATAGGTGATGTTACGCAAGAATTCTTCATACAGGCCAACGTTCCAATAAATTTGGGGGGCTACCTAGTTGTAGTTTAGCCGATAGTCAATGTTATTAAAATATAATAAGCTTAATAAAAGTAATTTCAAAGCTTTTTTTGAGCATAGAAACAACTGGACTAAATTATACACTTATTTATATGTAATTTACTTTTACTTCGTAAAGCATTATATAATTTTATTTTAATTTGATAAAGCAGACTCCTTCACTAATAATAAATACGGATTAAAATATCTATACTTAGGGTTTTTAAATAATTTTAATTCATTTCGTTTAAAATGCGCACAATTACGCAAGACAGAATCTCTAAAGTATTCATTATTTATTTCCGCATTTGCTATATAACAAAGCCTGCAATTATTTAATATTCGGAATGCATTTCGTAACGCTAACTAAGTGGCAGAGTATTAACTGTATTATAAGAATATTTTGATCATAAGCTTGTGTAATGTAACTTAGAATTGTGATTGTAGACTGTTAGCCATGTGTAGTATAATGTACGGTAGATATTTATCCTAAGAGATATTTGGTAGCTGTAACTATAGACTGTAGTGGTAGAGACTCTATGCTAGAGTACACATGACTATATACAGTAAGCTGTTGAGTTACTAATATGGCTATAGGTAAAAATAGAACTGTAAATCATATATTAGGATACGGTTAATTCATTGTACTTTGGCTGGTGTGAATAATGTCTACGTAAGTACTGTAGTCTTATCCATATTGGATTAATGATGGTCCGCAGTAGAATAGTCTTACTAAGAATAATTTAACAATGTGTAAAATAAGGTAAAAGATTGCCATGCGGATTATAGCTGCGAATGCTACGGAAAGTATAAAAGCATGCAACTTTAGATTATTCTGTTAGTTCGTTCTAGATGTCTTTAGAAGTAGTATTCGGCTAGAGTAGAGCTGTGTAGTTAATCTTTGTATAAGATTCAATAAAAGCCCTTATTTTTCTAAAATTTAGAATTTCGTGATTGGTATATATCACAACTTGTTAATGAGCTCTATTTTTATTTCGTACCTTTGTCTAACTGTAATATTTTTAATCTGAATATAATTCCATTTGATTATTTAATTTCGTTTGCTTGCTTTCATTACTGGTTACCAAGCAACTATAATATCTATCTTTAATCATTTACATAATTTGCTGTCACAGTAATATAAATCTATTTATGCTACTAATGATGGATCTTATTGTAGATGAATAATCTTAAACTTTAATTCCCCAGGCTTTGTTGGAATTAATTATGACCCGAGTACGTAGGCTTATTATTATAGACTGTCACTTTTTATAACTAATCATAATTCATGGGTTTCTTGTACGATTTATATTTACTACATATAGCTAGGCAAAAACTAAATTTAAGTCTTGGCTGCTTTATCGCAATCGTAAAAAGTTATCGCTACAAATAGCTTGGTACATTTACCATCTCCCTTGGCAAGGCAGAAATTCCGAACGTCACACGCTCTACGTAACCATAGTCGCATTCAATTTGGCCTAAGCGTTTTTGCAATTTGGTGACTTTATCGCGGATGCATTCAGATAACCGATTTTCGAACACGTTTGCGTTGCAAAATTGATCCGGCAAATGATCAAAAGCATGATCATGAGCCTCAGTCCATAAACACGAGTATCCAATGATCGTTAATAAGAATATATCTGAAAAATTAAAGATTAATTCGAGGTGTTGTTATTCGATGATTGCCTATAGTGATATTGAAAAGGCCATTATATTCATCTTAAAAGCTATCTTTGATAGCCATGGTGACTAGATTTATGGTATTAATTGGCAATATTTTAAGGCTAATCATTAATATGTTTACTAATATGCTTCAGTTTGATGATACCGATTTGTTTGATAGCGATATAAGTGCATCGAATTAATACTTGATTGTAATTATGCAATATTTTAAATGTTAATGAAAACAATTAAATAATCTAAGCTTGAAAGCGAACTTGGAAATTTCTGATTACTTATACATGAAAATATTATTGCAATTTAAGACATCTTTTATTACAGTAGCTTTGCTGTAAGACGATCTACTAGGCTAAGTATGAACAGAAAACAACATAATTTCAATATTGATATTATAACCATCACTATAGTTTTATGATTGTTCATTAAGGAAGCGATAAATTTCTCATTGGCAATTTTACTGTGCCTAAGCGATGCTAATTTATCTTTTAGAAAGATTAGTCATACCTGACTCAATTATTTTCATCATTCAAGCAAGTATCTTTCATTCATTAATGTGCAATATTATCTGTTTTGAATAAATTTTAAAGTACCTCCACTAAATAAAAAAAATTGGCTTTATAGAACCACAGTAATTTAAATATGCACTGATAAGTGTTTTCTCAGGGCACTCGTATCTCCTCCATAACATAACTGCACCAGGTATACACCTTAAAGCTGAGATAAGAATCAGCCAGCTTTAAAACTGATAGTTTGACCGATTTTTGTCAGCAGAATATATCGTTTGTCATTAAATTTTTACCTGTTAAATTTGTAAAAATTACTGTCTTTCACCGTACGCATATCTAATCTTTAAGTAAAATAAAATTCAAGTTACAAGCCAACATGGCTTTAATGGTGATCTCCTAGCATTGCAATAAGTCTAGTAATATATATAAACATCAAAATAACTAGCGTATCGTACGAATAGTGAATTATAGCTTGTGAAGCGCATGCTTCAAACCATTGGTTAACAATTTCGATGCTACAATAAATCATTAAGTTTCCAGGAAAATTTGTACCATATCAGTGCTGATACAGAATTGCTAAAGTAAAAATTACCGTACGTAGCGATCCTATATACAGCGCGCCGCGTAGAAGTAAAATAGCATAATATTTTGATTTAATGCATAATATCAATCTTTAAAGTCTAAAAACAAGAAGTTATTTCTAAAATTGGAGCTCGCGTTGTTACAGTTTCAAATATGTTCTTGTCAATAAACAGCTTTGCAACAAGATAACGTACGTAATGTACGATCAATAAGTCAATTCCTTGAACCACTTATCAAGGAACGATATCTGCACTATCAGAAACACTTTTGCTCTACTAGCAGACTATACAAAGGCTTAGACGCCTCGTATTTTACGTTAAACACTAAGTTTAAGAATTAACTTTATTACACGATATACTGCATTTATATACTCTTCCTCAATAGTTCATGAGTCATAGTTAGTACGGTTAACTTTGGAATCATTCACTGAATTAGATATCAATTTTAGCTACTGCTCCCTTAATGCAGACAACAGTATTTACGAACATAGACATGTAATGACTAATACAGAATAGTCAGACCACGATATGTCCGATCACGGAACATTTCCAGGATAATTTTCAATCTACCATAAGTAAGTTGCAATCACAATGATTCGAACTGTAAGTAGATGATTTGCATTCCCTATTATAACTATTAATTTCAGTATGTGTATATGTGTCACTGTCATAAAAAGTCAGTGCTATATTAAAACACAGTATATCCAAATTAGAAGTTAACTAAATAAGGATAGTCTAACAGAATTATCCTAAAATAAATATTTCTACTCTAATACAGTATATAACACTATCGCAGTTCTACTGAAGAAATGTATGAATAACGACAATCTGGCGAGATAAAATTTTTCTCAGTTTTATTATATTTCTTTCAAGGGGTTTCTTTACTGTATACGAATCTAGCTGAATTTTAGAGTTAGAATTTACAATTGCATTTGGCTGAGGAGTTTCTGACGAGACTATAAAAGGCTGGTGCCTGAAGATTCCTTTTTAGTTCGTTAGTCGGTTAGATAGTCAACTAGTTTTTCAATTGATATTTAATTGTAAAGACTACAATCTTGGGTGCCAAGATTCCTTCAGTAATAAATGATAGTAAATCTCTGACTATCTCGTCTACATCATCTGTGACGCTATAATTATAACATAGTATTCGGTCGTTGGAACTGAATTATTTGGTGATATAGCTAATCTCGCCTCTTTAAGTTAGTAAGTGGCGTTCTCCGCAAAGATTGGCGTGTGTAGACTACTTTGTCACTAGTGGTGTGTGACAATGGAGTACAATGGTACTATGAGAGAAATCTTCTATAATTTTACCATTCTTTGTAAGAGTGATAATATGTAAAGTTCTGTGTTAAATTTTGCAAGCAAGTGTAATCTACAAATACATATATAATTTAGTAATTCCCATCTACTGATTAAATTAGAGCTAGGTAGTCGCTTAGACCACTGCAAGAAAGTTATATTCATAAGATACACTTTTACTACTAATCGATAGTGAAAATGAAATATAATGTTACTTTTCAGGATATTAAATAAAGTTCAAATATACAAAGTTACCACGAGTTGCAGATCGCAAACTTTTGGATGGCATTATTCAATATTCAAGAATTAGAAGTTGCACACACAACTTGGTTCAAATGCTTAGAAGTGAAATAAATATCAATTTGATTTCAATTTATATTTATTCCTCCTTTCTTTTCAACATAATATTAAATTTTCATCACTGTTAAGAAGTTTATTACTTTACTTTTAACCCTAACAATTCTTCTAATGGTCATCATTTAAATAATGTTTTGAAAATACAAAACCCTCGTTTTCATTGCGTTACAAACAATAAATTATTGGATAGAGCCACAATTTGACGGAAGCATTTAACCACAATTCCCTCTAGCAGTCTTAATACAACGCTGTTGTAAATAATTAATTTGATCCATATCTTACGTATCTATACGTACTATTGTTATGATCAAGTACAATCGGGAAGGAATGGGAGCTAGGAATGAATTATAACAATTACGCTTAATTTTTTTTTGATTCATATCTTCTGTATTTGTACCTGTTTTTGTCTAGATACCAATATTAGTTTATCATCCGAGATGGATATTACCGATAATTTTTATGTTAACCGTGAAACATCCTAATACTGATTCCAATTCTAATCAAATCTGTAAAATTGCTTGTAAAGCGTTTCTATTATTTCATCACGTTATCTTTTTAGCTACTTAACATGCCATAATTTATGCGTTTAGCCTAGATTCATGTCTAATTTTAGGTATAAAATTTAAATTCGTCAGCAAATTCAAAGTTCCGAGATTGCAAATCAAAATTACATTATTTGAATCATGTACAGTAGCAGAATGCAATCTTAAAATTTCAGAATCCGCTGGAATTTGTTAATATTGGCCTACGGTACTGTATAATCAAATATCACATCTATCGTAATCTACTAATTAAAGGCATTAAAAGAAAGAATTTCTAGATAGCTGAAAGCCATCATTAATGTTATTAACATATTTGGTAATCCTTAGGAGATTCATTACATAAGTAATGCGAAAGTATAATAATTAAACATATTTACATTAATGTTGAATCGATATGTAATAACTTTGAAAGCCTTTTGCCTTATTGCCAGAACTTTTTTGATTATTCATTATGACAGTATTATGGATATTGATCGTAATATTTGTACAGGTCGATTTTAGGATAAGGATTAAATTTCTGCTTACCCTTTTAATTTTTAATTTTAAATTAGAGCTGGTAATAATTAGTTTTTTTTTTCTGCGTTTGCAACATCAAAAGATATTTTTCAGTTCAATACCCTCAAAAGGAGATCATGGTACAACCTTGGTCTTCTTGCGAAATGATGCTTACAAAGTAACAATTATACGACTTTGCTCTTTATCAAATACTTGCTGACTAATGCTGTAATCTTAATTTTTCGTCCTTTATAACTAATTATAATTAGCAGAGTAGGGAGTTTGATAGGCTTTCAATGATATAAAATGTTTAAAATTATATTTTTAAAATATTATCGATGCGAGTGTGGGTGATGATTCTTACATTCATTAATTGACCCTATTCAATGAACGTGAAATGTTTAGCAATCTGTTTTGCTAGATCGTAAATCATACCGTATAATGAATATATATTCAGAATACAGCTGAAGAAGATTTAAAATTTGTCATTATGCATTTTCTATCCTTTATTGTCATGAAGTGTTATTATTTTCTGTTGTCATTCAAAGTAAAATTCATATACGTTTTTATCCTGTTCTATTGCCACGAAAAAATTAAGATAAAACATTCATCGAAAGTAATTTTTTTGTATTCTAAATTTTAATTAGGATTTTCATTAATAAGCCCTTGCAACTTTGCTGTGGAATGGATCACATTTAGGATTTTGGAATAAAGATTAGAATAAATATTTATTGCAGTACTTTTTAAAAGAGTAATTAATAATTCACGACGTATTGAGACTGCTTCCAGACACTCATACTGCTAATTTTTTAACTATAATAAATATCTTAAATAGTGATTTGCATATACAATCTGGTGCACCATCAACTTCAGATGTAAACAATTGGATGCATAAAGTTTTATCAATGCATTAATTTTTCAAGTCTACAATTAACCAAAGTAGAAAAGTTGCTGGTTTATTCAACTATAGTAAGAAGTTTAACCTCATCAATGTCCTTGTTAGATGCCTAATTCGGGAATATAGTACTATGCTGTACACGCTAATAGATATCTTGAAATAAAATGAGTAATAGAATGTACATGGATGAGTTCCATGTTGATTCATTTAAGTATTGAAAAAATACCGAAGATTCAGATTAAACGAAAGTAACTTCTTACTTTCTAGTGATATTTCCTAAATCTGGCACAGTGAAAGATTTTGAGGATTAGTAAGTTGCAAATCGCACGTGGTATTTTCCCAGATTTACTTGGTATGTTGGGAACAGTGAAATGTTTAAGTAAATCAAAAATTGATATGAAATTTAACTCAATAGTTGCAATTATTCCACGATTTCGTCGCTATAGGTTTTTTTTTTATTTATTTTCAAAGATTTGTTGCCTAATTGAGTATTTTAATTCTAGCTATTTAAGTCTAATGTAAAGCACTTATTTTGAGTTGCTTCTACAGGTTACTACCTTATCTGCCGAAAGATCTAGTAAGAATATAGTACTACTACTACAACGCCTAAGGGCTACCCTTCTAAAAGGCTCACCACTAGTAGACACCCTGTACTGTAATCTACAAAACAGCTTTATTTAATAACTCACTACTCACTGTTCTCTTTCAAAATCAACTGATTTAAACCAATAAAAAATCGTAAATGACAGTTTATCTTAACAAAGAAATACCAGATATACCTTAATGATATAATTAGATAAACAGATAAACTTATTTATAAAGAATAATCTTATATAAATTATGGA